GTGAAGTAGTTTGTAATTAGAGATTTTATTGCTTTGGTAATATTTATTGTGGTAGAATTTTGAATGTGTATATAAGGTGTGTATGATTGTATGAGTGTTTGTGTTTTCTGAATAATTTAGAGTGTATGAATGTGTTCTTTAGTTATTAGGTTGTTGTAGATACAGTAACCACAAATTTGGAATGAAAGAATTGAAAAATTGGAGTATTATAGTAGTCTCTCGTTGTATTGCCGTTAAGCAGAATTTTCATTTTTTCAGAATTTTTTCATTTTTTCAGAATTTTCTGAAGCTTGAAATGTAAGATGTTTGAAAATTTTTCGGTTTTGAAATTTTGAAATTTAAGAATGTTTAACTTTGGAGACTTTAGAAATTGTTTTTATCAACCTTCAACCTTTAATTCATTAATACAAGTACTATTTACTACATCACCAAATTAACAATCACCCATCTTTCTTACACAACAACTTAATAAAAAAGTCATAAGTGTAAATCATGTATGTTAGTCTGAAAATATCCCCCTCTCCCTAAGTGTATAGTGTACAGTGTCGTCTAAAGTTTAATGACAGCTATGATAAATGAACAATCAGATCTGAGGATCGGACGTTTAATGTTTCCACCGAGCTGCAAATGTCACAGAGCAAGACGACTGACCAGCTTGGATACGCTTCGAAGCTCGTAATCGAGGTATCCTTTCGAAACCTTCGACGTGTAGCTCTCTCAAGCCATTCGTCGATGCGAGGATCAAATTTTAAGAAAATCTAGAAGAATTTACCACATAATTGCCACACTGACTGCCACAAACACTAAAAATTCAACATTCAAAACATCAACGATTAATTTTGTAACGTCGCCATTTTTTAACGAGTTTCATAGTCGGCCATTTTGTAAAATTATAGTCCGCCATTTTGTAAAATCATAGTCCGCCATTTTGCAGAGTTATAGTCCGCCATTTTGTAGAGTCATAGGCGGCCATTTTGTAGACTCATAGGCGGCCATTTTGTGGACCATTTTTCATTCTAAATGCGATTTTAATTTTACTTATGATAAAACGTAGCAGTCAATGGTTATTAATAATTACTGAATGAATTTTGATTGAAATCCTCGCAAGAACGACGACGCGAGCAGTCTTCAAAAGATCGCGTTTTCAAGGACGCGAACCTGTAAGAATCGTTCGAGCACACCGCAGAATAATAATACGTATATAAAAACGAGCTGACCGTACGACATCATGACGAATGTCAATCAAATAACACTGCAGTCCACACCAAGTAACAATATTGAAATATATGTGTACGCGTAGGTCGAGTCACTGTTCGCCATCTTCAATAACTGCCTCAGGGTTGACGTTACGGCAAGAAAAAGTGATGAATGTCGAAGAATATTGAATATCACGTAATAATTGCAGAAAAATTTAGAATGTACACATGATGACTGTCGAAAAATTAGAAATGTAATATGAGTGTGGTAGAATATAAAATGTAACATGACGGGTACAGATTTAATGTAAAATAGTACTGAATGTAATATGATAAGTATAGATAGAGGGGACTATAGGAGTTTGGGACTTAAGGATTTTGGGACGACAGTAGTTTGGGACTACAAAAGATTGGGACGTTGGGAAATTAGGACTATGCAAGTTTGGGACATTGAGAGTTTGGGATTATAGAAGATTGGGACTTTGAGAATTTGGGACTATAGCAGTTTGGGCCTTCAGGAGTTTGGGACTACAGTAGTTTGGGACTACAGAAGATTGGAACCTTAATTAGTTGGGACAATACAAGTTTGGGACATTGAGAGT